CTTCCCCATATCTAACAAAGCAGTCAGTCAGAAACTCTTCATTCTAAAGCAAAGCCTTTCCAGCTGCATACAGTACTTCCAACTCCAAAATGTAGTAAGTACAATATTTTAGAACCGTCTTAAGGGGAGAGGGTACCTTGAAATGAGTCAAATGATCGATTTTGATTTTTTTGGGTAAATAAATATTTCAAACCTAACTCTTTCCAAATATATCAACATTTTTCTTCTAGAACGTCTGAAAGTTCCTCTAATTCTTATTTAAATGTCCTAGTGCGCATGCGCCACGCCCCCTTTTTGCACTGTGCAGCGTATGTGCTCTTTCGTTCCTTCTTCGAGCGCATGTTGGGTTGTTAATGATTTAATGAAACATGCTCTTGATGACACGTTGGTTGCATTGGTCTTTTCCGAATGGATGGAAGAAGAAGATGATGCAGAACACGGAGCAGGAATGTTCTAGTAGCGCAGCGGCGAGTGCAGCCCTTTTTTTCCAATGGCGATTCCCGAAAATGTACTTATTTTATAATGAATGTACCTTTTATCAGAAACTATTATTCACCATTTATTGATATTTACAGGATACATTCTTCACAGTATTGGCAATAAATTGAGGGAATTGGGATAAATTGGGATAAATTGAGGCAAAAAAGTATAAACTAGTGATCCTATAAAAAACCACATACTTTCTCGCCTTTAGTAATAGTTATGTAATACTTTTTATTATAGACATGTAATTAATTTTTTTAAATAAATCATAAAAGTGAATAAAGCATTTGAAATTTTATCTCTTCCTTTACATGATGCCCCTGGAACATTTTCAAAACAAAAAAAAAGTTCCAACATTTTTGAATAAATTGTATTGTTTGATAGTATGAAGGACACTTATGCGAATGCTACAGGTCTCACTTCCGTTGCAAACTCTAATTTTTCGAAACTTTCAAAAATTCAAAACTTTTCTACATTCTAATTTTTATCCAGCAACATTTATATTGCAAAAATACTATTTAAAAAAATATCATGGCCTTTTTCAAAGAGCTTACTTTGTGCAACAGACTTTATCTGAGGCAAAAATCTCTATTCAATTTTGTAGTTTTAAATGTTTTAAATTTAAACCAACCAATATCCGAAAAAATGACTGGTACTATATTTTTGTCGCTTATTACACAAGTGATAAAATTTAAAGAAAATAATTTGGAACTGTTTTTGACGATTTTGTTTGTTAATTTGAATCGCAAAATACGCAAAAATTACTCATTAAAAAAATATACATGGCCTTTTTTGAAGAGCTACGTTTGTACAACAGAATTTGTCTGAGGCAAAAATCTATATCTCCAATTTTTAAGATTTATTTTTTTTCAAACTTTGAAATAGCGGTAATTTCAACGAAATTGAGACCTGCACCAATCTCTTAAACGTCGTTTGCACTATTACACAACAGAATTTAATCAAAAAATTTGGATTAATTGTTTTGTAAATTTTAAATGTCCCCAGGTGCTTCATGTGAAGTTCAAAATTAAAATTCTGGTTTAAAAGTTCAGGGTTCGCAACACCAACTAGAACGATTGAGGAAAATCAATATTAGAGAAAATCGGCTGAACGGTTTATGCCCTAGCCTTGTTCGCGGACGAACAGACGTTTAGCCGTCAATCGATTTTTCGACATGAAGGGCCCACAAAACATTGATTCTGGATACACCACGCGTTAGAGGATTTTTCCATGTTTAGCAACTAGATTTATCCACTTTTTTGTTACCAGGGCCCTGAAAAAGAGTTTTTGTGTCGGATATTCGCCGTTTTCCGGCGCAGATTACAATACTTTCTCGTCTTTCGTTAGTAAGTGCCAGAAAGTAAAAAGTAATGTTTTTCGAAAAATGCGGAAAAAGTAGGGCAAAAGTTATAACACGAATTATTTTTAATCAATTAAAAAAATGTCTAAATAATAAGAACGGTTTTACCTTGAAGTCTGTGATATATAATTTTCTAGTAAACCATTTTCTAAAAAAGGGACATCATAGCACATTTAACATGGGCGGTATACATGGTACCTTTAACAACGATGGAATAAGAGGAAGTGTTTATATCAGCGTTGAAAGAAGAAAGGGACATATCTGCAACGTGGAAAATCTTGTTCGGAAACTCCATTACCGCGCCCAGGAGACAACAGCCCAACTCCCATAGAGCTCGTGAGTAGGCGCACTGTGAGTGGGATCAGTGGCTAGGAATCAGCCACCCCCTTCGGCGTGTCACCTCTTTCATTTTGGTCATTCATACTGAGGCAGCTAATAAAAACATGTAAGGCTAATATCACTTGCAATGTTGCATCTTTTCTTCCCATAACTTACTTTTGTATCGTTGAGTGATGAAACAATACTCGACAATGCAGATATGTCACCTTTTTTAAGAATTCTTCTAGCTATTTCTGCCTTTCAAGGGCGTGGATTATAAGCTGCGTTAATTAATGGCTTTATCATTACAGGATGAAACATTCTCCGATGTAAGTGGATATAAACCTCGGTATAGGTATGATTAATAATAAAAACGAGCTTAGCTAACAGTAATTACTGTTATGTTAGGTACTGATGAGTGTGTGTGTGTGTGTGTGTGTGTGTGTGTGACATGAGGCACGATGCAGCTCGACCTTTACAATGCGACTTCACAGGATGACTCGGAAATGTTACGAACTTCCAGGGCGCATATTGCAGATGAATTTCATCACTTTGTGTCAGTGGACATTTGGTCGAAATATATAACGAGGAGCCTGATGTTACATCCGAAATAATAACAAATAAGGTTGCAAATATACGTGCATTCTACGATGAGCAAGTATTACTGCACTTAATTTCAGCATGTAAGATTTGCAATGCCCGTACAAATTATTAAGTTATTTTTACATTTTCAACTTTACTACATGCGTAATAAATAAATTCGTCAAGCACGGCGATTCTTCGGCATGAAAACTCGTATTGTTCGGAAATTCAAGTTCACAATATTTGTCGTTTTTCTACAACTACGTCTGCTATTATTAATAGAGATTTTTTGCAATAAAATCCGTTGTTCAAAAACTCAAAGTAAGGTCATGTTGTTCAAAAGTGTGAGTAGTTTTTTGTGGGAAATATTGACAATTTTTGAACAATTATTTTCTCAAAAACGGATACCAATTTTTTCCATTAATGTTTTTCTTCGTATGTATCACGGGACGGTAAAACAGTGATGCCGTTCCCGTTTTCTGCAAATTTTATATTTTCGAAAATTTGCAAAACATTAACACTGCAAAAGTACAATACTGATTATGGGTATTTTTTATTAAATGAGATCTATTATTATAAATAAATTTTTAAATAAGGTCGTGCACAATTGTTACTACAATTTATTTTTAAAAATTCCAAAAACAGCCGCAAATTGTTTGTTTAATTTTTTCCTAATGTAAGGAGAAGGCCTCTAAAAATGGACATTTCTAATTTTCGTTAAACGTTCTGAAATATTGACACTTTCATAGTTGCAAATAATTTGAGAAAGTATGTGCTGTTGTAGAACCCCCAGCTTACTATTTGTTTACTTCGTTATTTCCGTACTGTAGTGTCTGAGCACCTCTTCAGAAGGATGCATTCACGCTACTTCTGCTGCATAACCGATGCAGTCTACTGGTGCATTTATCTATAATTGAAGGAATATTTTTATGAAATTTATTTGATTTTCATTACAACGTTTGAATGTAATGCACAAAGAATAACTACTATTGAATTTATGCAAGCATTTTTAAAGTATCATGCTTGGCATTTTTTATAACATCGATTTATAATAAGTTATTTCATTCGGATTGTTATGCGAAAATTTGTCGTCGACATTCTCTTCACAACCAACATTTCTTTTCAATATGTTCATAGCTTCATAAACGGAGATTCTAACTTCCAATAGTTACGTAGGAAATATTTATTAGCTGATTATCACCTATGAAGACTTTAGTCTACTGAATGACGTAGTTTCAACTGAAATAAAGCATGAACATTCATACTCTAAATACGCTAAATTAATTCGGAAATTCTGAAATTCAAAAAGTCCAAGTTCACAAAACTAAAAGAAATGGTATTGGTAATAGTGGGAGTACTGCGTAACAACAACGGTTTGTGGTGTCGGTGGCATAACGGTTAGAGTATCGGGTGGTTGTTGTACCAAAATTTGCGGATGTAAACCCGAAAGAACCTATAGATTTTTTAATGGCAGAAAAGTCCATCGTAAGAAGGAAGTAAAGCTGGCGATTTCATGTACTAAATACTTGTAAAAGATACTTAAAGAGCATAAAACAGAGCTAACATCAAATCGCATGTTTCGTCGTCCGAGTGATATCTTCTTCTTTCCCTATACGGTGAAAGGAGCATAGGGAAATTTGAGTGGTCAGAGGGAAGAGCCAGCGGAGATGATGGGTCGAGTATTTAACTGAACTGACCTGCGTTAATTTTTATTTTAGGGAACGACTCTCGTTCACTACGAACTGTTCCTTGGATTCTATTTTAAATATACCTTATAGTGTACAATTCTTCACAAGGCGTTCGCAACTGGTTCGAAAACTGGTTGCCAGTGTGTTCACAATGGCGGGTTTGAGCAGGTGTGTCTTTGGTGTTATGCGAAAAGATGGGACTGCTAATATTATAAAATGGTGCAAGGGTTGTTTATACGAAAGTTGTTTGTTGTAAGCATATTAAAGTGCTTTCTTATAAAAGTGAATTGGTAATTATGCGGTATATATACTCAAGATTCTTTATAGTGAGCGCGAGAGCAGAAGGTCAGAGCCAGGTCGGACTTTGACCCGAGCGAGCGAAACGAGAAAACATGGCTTTGAAAATAATTTGGATTACAATGTGGCGGGAACCCAGTGTACGCGAAGACATTGCACTTTGGTAGAATGAACCGAAAGCGAAGAGACCGAATCTTTTCCGACCAAACTCGTTCTTTTACGTGAACTAACAAGGGGCGCTTAACTGCACTAACCGGGCGGTATGTTTCAAGGAGCAGCACGTCGACGGCGGCGGCGGCGTTCGCCATCGCGACGTCGGCGTCCAGCAACCCGCGCGACGTGGCGTCCCCCGCGCCCAAGGCCGCCCCGGGCGCCGGCGGCCGCTGCAGCGTGGGCGACGCCAGCCTCCGCTCGGGCAGTTGCCGCGAGCGCAACCGCCGGAAGGAGTCCGTCATGTCCACGGCCGCCACCATGCGCGTGCTCAACGTGCTGCGCCACTGGGTCTCCAAACACGCGCAGGTACGCCACTTGGAGGGGGCACACTCCGTCATGTCCACGGCCGCCACCATGCGCGTGCTCAACGTGCTGCGCCTCTGACAAGGAAATGGTAAACTTTGTCATGTGGAAAGCGCACCTGGCCTATTTTTTAATTCAAGTAAATATTATTTAAAAGCTGTGCACACATTTTTAGGTGCCAAGTTTTTCCGGAAGTATTTTTTAAAAATAAAATGAAAAGGGATGTTTTTTATTTGGCATACCAGTCAAAATACTGGGTAACGTTTGGCGCGGACATTTCGTCTGAAAGGCTAGATCAGTCGCTGGCCGTCATGTTCACGGATAGTGGAAAGCGTTTTGAAAGTGAGAACTTTCAACAGCGACCAACCAAAAATAACACTGTGAATGTGTAAACGATGCAATATGTAATTGAAATGCTTCATATGTTTCAATGACTTGCAACAAGGTGATAATTCTGGTAAATCTACCTGCATTTAAAATACCCGCTTTTATTTAGACGCAAGCTGCTACCTGAAGCTCATTGGCTGAAGTCGGATATGATGCGCAAGAGCTCACCCTGTCATAGTGGTTGTTTACACATAGGCGCTCTAAATATCTCAAATTTGGCGCATTCTCTCAAACAGAGACAATTTATTATAACCTGTCTTTGATATATTTACATCAAAGGATGTACATTTCAAACGTACCACGCCTAAGATTTATTCCTCTTAAATCCTTCGAACATAAGTACGAAGAAAAACAGCATCTAAGAAAAGCTTCTTTTATAGGATTTTGAGCTGGATCAGCGTTTGAAAAATTTAACAATTGAGTTCCTGGAGGACATCATCTACAGTCCAAACCTGCTGCCAGCCGAGCACAAAGCTGCCTCGCAGCTGCTGCGACTCATCACCAAGGAAGAACCAGAAAGCAATAAAGTGGATTTGGATCTCCTTTTGGCTCCACCAATGGTGAGACCTGGTTTTGTATTTCTTATTAACGAGTAATTTCTATCCTGACCAAGCGGAGTGTAGGGCTGGCGATGAGGGCAGCACTGCGCTCTTTGTGCTTCGGAGAGAAAGAGACAGCTATTGATGTACTCACTGCAATTCAAAATGAAGTCATTGCTCTAGACCAAGGTCCGTAGTCCTTATATAAGATCATCTTACAAATGCCTTCTTATGTACAATAATTCTCGCGACTCAGGACCCGGGGATATGTCGACGCGTTGGGTAATTATATGAATAAATATTGATAATTATATGAGAAATGAAATTATTTGGATTCTACATTAGAACATGACATTATTCGATTTAATGAAAAATGTCCGGGAATTTCATCTTTAACCTCCAGATTCCCAAAAAATACAACGTAATAAAGATGTTTAAAATCGTTAATGAGTGATAAAATTAATAAGTGCTTTCTATGTGATTAACGTTCTTCTATTAAAATGATCTGAAGGAAACGAATTGTGCTGATTAATTTGCATTACGTTCCATGCTATGCAAGAATGTTTTATTACTTTGGAACGTAAATGCAGCAGACTGTACCGCCTCGGAGCGAACGCGCGACGCGACTGTCGCCGTTGTTCGTTCTCGCATGCGCCGCTCCCTCCCTCCCACATTTCGCTTGGTCAGGTTATGCATGTACATGTATGCGTGATCCTTTTGCTATTTTTTGTTTTATAGACTCCGAGCAAAGAAAACATTGAGACATTGTCAGCCTTGGAAATTGCGGAACAAATGACGTACGTTGATCATCAGATCTTCGTCTCCATTTGCAGCGAGTAAGTGTGAGAGTTTGAACTTAACTCGAAATATTAAATTTTTATTCTAGATGAACTTATTTTGTGAATTATGTCAGTAAACATATTAGCAAGAGCGCAAATGAAGTTCAAAATAGCCCCGCCTCTCTTCTCCTTGGGTGCTTACGAACTTATCCACTTTAATCCTTCCCCATTGCCCATCATCTTGTTTTTCCTTTTCAAGTCCTTATCTTGCCTTTCATTATCAAATTCATCTTTTTACCTTGTTGCTTGTTTGATCCATCCATTTTATCTTGTTGCTGTATTTCTGATATTTCTCTTCATATACATATTAATTTACTTACATATTTATTCAGTTTTTGTATTTGTTAATTTATCAATACTTTAATTTATTTTATTGTAAGTAAAAATGGAGAAAGGCTATGTGATGTTTGGAATGCTGAGCTAGGGAAAAGTTACATTTACGGTTTAGAAGCAAAATAATGGATCATTGCAGTATTTGCTCTAAAAGACGTGTCTAAAGGGGAACTGACGATCAAAGATCCCGAAATACAAATACGAGGGTGAAAATATGAACGAGACTATTGTAATCAACGTAATATTTTACTAAAATTGACACTTTTGTTCAAGCCATGCGAGGATGTGGTGACCTGTTTTTGCTATTTATTTCTACCAGTCTAACTGTGAACTCTAAAATTCTCGTAGGAAGGTACGCTCATGGTTTATTAGATAAGGTGTGTGAAATAAGGCTTAGATAAACAGAAACTATCGATTTTTAACATGATAAGGAGCACAATGCAACGTTGGCATATGGTACACTAGCTTAATGTCAAAAAGATTGCAGTGAAGAAAGTAAGCAAATGCAATTTTAGAAAAAACATCAGTTTACGGTGCTTCCAATGGAGAGAATATTCATGGGGGTCAATAGCAACGGGCAAGAAGCCACCGCCTGCCTCGTCACTGGTCTTCTGACACTCTCCCCACCCTCCACCTCTCCCTCCTCTCATTTTTTTTCTTTATTTTTCATTCTCCCTCCTCTGTATTGTGTCTCTTGATTTGCCTTGCTGGCAGATAATACAAAATCTAGGTCTAAATGGTTTTATTAAGCATTGTGCAAAAAGTATTGTTTTAATGAAGATTTGGTTTTGACAGAAATTCAAACTTTGATTTAATAAGGTAACTTAACTCTTAACGTTATTGAAACCTTTAAAAGTATTCATGTGATAATCATTACTCCAACTTGTTAAAACCTAACATCTTTTTGGAGTGAGGTTCAATGCTCCATACAAGTGTATTGATTTACCTGCTATGATACTTCTAAAGGATGCTGGCTAACTTTAAATAATATAAGTAACTGACAACATTATGTGAATTGTTTATCTGTGATATAATGTGTGAAATAAGTTTATTAAATTCTGTAACTATCGTACTAGAATATTTTCTGGCACATAATGCAAAATATATAAACATAACCGTACCTTAGAAAGTCACTACATTCTTATGTTCTGATGAATTCATGTATTGTATTTTAAGCATAGATAAAAACTTTCAATATCCTAGATTAAATTTGTTCAAAGAATTGTTACCCGTGTATTTTATTTGAAAAAAGTTAATTATTAAAATAAATTTGTTACTAATTCAGAAGGTCACGATTTGTTATTCATTACGTCTGCGGAACATATTTCCGAGCGTAAACGCGTCCAAAAACGAAACAGGGTGGTGACAAATATCATAGGTGTTTGTGTAAATGTAATGTTTGCCTTTTTTCGCCAGGGAGTTCCTGGGCCAAGCGTGGATGAAGTCGGACAAGGCAACAAAAGCGCCACATATCATCCTCATGACGAAACGCTTCAATGAGGTAAATTACCACTTTTAGTTATCAACTCGTGTCGATGAATTTAATCAGACATTTTCTATAATCTTATTCAGGGCTGATTTATGGCGGAACGCGACAGAACGACGTTCCGGTACATTAAATGTCAGATAATGTTAGTATTAAATTAATCATTAATTTGGAACGCGTTCGGGAACGTGTTTGGGAATTATTACCCGCGGACGTTTTCGTGAGCTCTCACTTCGCTAGATGCGATAAGCAGCAGTTTGATTCTTTTAAGAAAATAACTTATATAAAATCTGTTGCTCATTTTTCTATGCAAAATATATTCTATTTCACGAGAGCAAACATTTATGGCTATCATATTTTGTCAACAAACCTCATTGGCACTATTTAGTCTGAGTACAGCTTATATTAGTAAAGGAGTGGAGGAGGTAATCGGGAGCTCAAGAAATCGTGCGCATGTAATAAGTACAGCTGTTATTTAATATATTTATTCTACACAATTTTGTAATCACCTATTTATTGTATAACATAATTATTTTAATATGCAAGAAGGAATACATTTTAGTTTCTGGTGTTTCATGTCATTGCATATTGCATGAAAGAAATCTTCATAATCATGTATATATACAGAATACTTGAAACAGTTTTAATTGCTTTACAGATGCCAATGAATTTTCAAACCTCAAAAGTATTTGTCCTGGTATTAGTAAAGTAATGGCAGTGTACATTTTTCAGAACATGTTTTGGTTGCATGCATTATACACTGATGGGTCACAGTACGACGAAGAAGGTGCACGCGGCCGAGCCCCCCTCACTGCCGACGCGCCTTTATATTCGCTTTTTAACAACTTGGTTATATGGCGACCATTGTGATTCCTTTTAACTCTAGCAAGAACACGTAAGAACAACACGAACACACAAATACATCCGAACTCGAGGCGGGATTCGAACACATGGCGACGCGTGCCTTGATATGCAGCCATAAACGCGCGGGACATTGTTAGTATGCTCTGTGAAAATTCTGTTTGCGGCCGCAATAAAGGTGCTGGTGGGCAACGCTGAGTTGTGATGGCTCAGGGCCGTCGAACTTTCTGCTCGCTGCCCTCGTCTCCGTCGCGGCTTATCGCCCGTCCAGAGCATGCCGTTCTCCGGGACGGCAACTCGATAGTTGCCACGACGCTTCTCGCAAACCAATTATTGCTTATTGTGCCATTGGTTGCAAACGGCAAACATCGCACTAGTACAGGGCTGTCCAACTGGCAGCCCACGTGCCGCATGTGGCCCGCAGTGCCATTCATAGTGGCCCGCGAAATGTTATTGGACAAACGTGGAAGTCCCTTGCATCCATTTATGGCGAGAATATTGCGCCTAACAAACGCGCCCTGTCGGGGTCAGCATACTCTTAATGTAAAAATAAGTTCATTTTTTATTTAAGGATTTTTTGGTTGCAACTTCAGACTTTCAAAATCATTCCAATGTGTTTCACTGCGTTATGCATAGTTCGGCATGGTTCCACCCCCTCTCGTATCAGAGCAGCCGGGCAAACTACCGAAACCAACACAACGAAGAAGTCAAGTGTGGATCTCTCGAGTAATGTAAATATGGCCCTCATCCGTATTAAAGGTTTTAGTTATGGCCCTTGAGGCCTTGCAATTTGGTCACCCTTGTACTAGTAAGTGAGTATGTTTTTTTCTTCGCTAACCATTCGCGAGTTCGTACATTAGATCGAGTGGCGGCCATTTCCCAATTCTGAATAACTCGGGTAGCAGCGGGTCGAAGTGTGTAAAATTGGGTGTCGTCATGTTTCTCGGCATTCTGAACACTGTGTTACTTTAAGAGACACACATGTGCATATCGTATTGTGTTCACTTAGATACTAAAACCTTACCAGCACTTGTCGCATACAATGTTCCGTATCAGCTGCTTTTACGTCAACATCAGAACAAACTTTTCGTCTTCTTTGAACTCCGCAATACAATACGCGAATTCATATGTTGAGGAGTTTCTCTAAGGAGAGACCAGTTTAACAGGTCGGGAAACAAATTAACTTCATGAAGTGCGATGGGCAAAAACTCAACATTTGAAAACTGCAAAATTAAGATAGAGATTTTGGTCTAAACAAAATGTATTGTTTCTATGATTTTTATTGTACCATTGTTGTTATTATTATTATTATTATTATTATTATTATTATTATTATTATTGTTGTTGTTGTTATTATTATTATTATTATTATTGTTGTTGTTGTTGTTATTATTATTATTATTATATAATTTGCATGTTAGCTATATTATCTTATTTATGTAATTAGCTGCCACCGGATTATATACATTTTCAGTTTCAATAAACTTATCTTACTGTAAAAACTCATTATGAAAGGTCGCGTAGAATTCTTTAGAAAAACTATAAATGTTCGCATAACGTGTGCTTGGAAAAAATACAATATATGCAGGCGTCCCACCAAATATGAGTCACGAAAAATCTACGCAGAGAACAGGAATGAATTAAAATGGATGTGAAAAATAATTAACATTATTTTAATTATAGTTAAGTATAAAAATCCCAATTTAGTTCAATTTTTACTATATTCTACAATTTGTATTAATTTTGATGAAATTAGCCCCATTCTTTGACTCGCTTCGTACGAATTAAGTGTAATACGAAAAAAAATTCGAAAAAAAATTGATTACTTTGATTTTGTGCGAACTTTTATTACGATACTTTAATATTACCACCGTACGCAGCATAACCCCAAACTGCTTCGTTAAAACAGATTGAGAAGTTATTCCGAGAATTTCATTGCTTGCATTGCTTGACGGCTACATAGATGGGAGAGAGATAAGACAAGGCGGCTTTATTTTACATTACGTTACTATTATAATGTCACTGCCTTCAATAAGATGGTACAATAAACTTTATTAAAGCCGGGAAGAATACACAGTCAAGCAGTAAAATGCAGACATAGTAAAATGACTAGGAGGAAAGGACACAAAATGTCTAAGTTTTTGAACTCTTTTTCATTTTACTTTCTTTGAAAATAATCTATAGTAGATTAATGTAACCCAGGAAAATTTTAACTCATTTGTAAATCATGTTAACAAACAAATTTCATATTTTTTTATTTTAATCGGTACTGTAAATAAAAGTTTTAATAAACATTTTGGCAAAGTGCATTGTCGTCTTGAAGTGCTGCAGAACCTTGTTGTTTGTAATCACTTCAGAAAATCCCTATGGTTCAAATTAAATACACTTATTATAACACACACACACACACACACACATACACACATTTATGATATAGCATAAACATTTTACAAAGCACACAAACTGATACTGATTAATATTATTTTTGTGAAGGTCTCCCAATTGGTTGTGTCTGAAATTGTGCGGCGTTCCAATATGGCAGCTCGAATATCTGTAATTGAAAAATGGGCAGCGGTAGCTGACATTTCAAGATGTTTGCACAATTTTAATGGAGTTCTTCAAGTGTGTGCTGCATTCACAAACAGTGCAGTATTTCGATTGAAGAAGACGTGGGAAAAAGTTTCAAAAACAGTAAGTTCTTAATCTTTTTTAATAATGATCAATGTTTTTATTTATAAGAGTTGCCCAAATGAAGCTAAGGAAGCAGTCAGGTGAGATCTTTTTGTTAAGTGTGGTGTTTGCAGAATCGCCTTGAAGCATAAATGTGATCAAGAATTCGTTCACACGGATCTGTAAGCAATTCTGATTCAAATATCGAAGGCAGGAGGTAACAGAGCAGACGAAATTAATGTTCGTAGGAGATTGTGTAAATTAATGCGATGTTCAGATTTTTATCAACCAGAAGTGTCTATTGCATTTTTATTGACTGCACGCAGGGTAAATATCAACACAACCATATTCCTGAGTTTTTTACAAATATATCAGAGACGAAAAGCAAACGGAGAGTGTGTAGAACGGTCGCCTGTCAGAATCTCGTGTTACATACACGTGTTGTGACCTACGGCTTTTGCAGCGTCGTGTTTTCTTTGCTAGTTCTTCAAACTTATGTCCCACTAAGAAATTTCCTTAAACAAGCAAAGTGTAACATAAATCACATATGTAAAACACATAATTTCCTTATGTTCATATACTTCAACTAATACGAGTACATCTTTGTAAAAAAAGAGATGATCACTTTCGTTTACATCAGCCTTAATTTTTCCTCTAAACTCCAATATTTTCTTTAAATTCTCACTTTGACAATGTGGTTTTCCCCGTACTTAAACAAGAATTAATATTTTCCTTTGCATTCAAATATATTACGTATTAAGACTATTCGTCAAAGTATTTGGGTAAAAAACTTAACTGGGAGTGGTGGCTCAGAGCATCAACTGATGTTACTACAGTTCCTCTGACCGGGAGGTCCTAGGTTTCTGTCCCGACGGTGGCAGGATAATCGACACTAGCTTGTCAGCCAGGTCGAATTCATGCGCTGTTTAGAGAAGAATTCTAGCGACCCGCTGCTCTAATTGGAATCTTTCCGTGGTTTCTCCGGTAACACTAAGCGAATGCCGGAGCAGTTCCCTAACAAACGTGCACTATATTTCCTTTTTTGCTTGTCCTATCCTCTACCCTTACACACACTAACAGACCGGTCGGGCGCTTAGAGCTTGTTCCGGTTGGGGCGAAGATCTAACAGATTTGAACCGAACTAATTTAAAAAAGCAAAAAATGGCGTTTTTATTTAAAGGCGGCTAATTTAAAATACCAAAAAAATTAAATTTGTCTTCCACATCCTTAACACACAGTCACCATCAAGCTCCTCAGCGGTTCCTGAAGAGAACCCATCAGAAACAGTTCCCACCCGATCCGATGGCGCTCGATCAAACGCTATCGCTTCCAAATATAGTAATTTTTCTAAAGAAACAATACAAACTTTCTTTCAACCTCCGTTTTGGCGCTTTCTGGAACAATTCCTATCCCCGCACAGAATACGTCTAGGAGTAATCAAAAAGTTTCTCATCCGCTCCCAAATACATATTTTTTCAAACCTCTACCACTTAATTTGACTTGTTTTTCTAGTGATGTTTAAAGTCTTAGTGTTATAGAAGTTCCAATAGTGTAATGAGTACTGTTATGAATAGAGACCGGAAAAATATGTAATATGAAATGTAAAAATATGTACATAAATATGTAATGAAAACAGTAAGAATTTATAGTAAAAATGTTAAAACATATGTAATATGTAATATTAGAAGACATTAATTATAAAATGCATTTACATAATACGAAGTAACTTTTATAAAAAACGTCCTAAGAACTTTTAAAAGTAATACAATCCTTTTAAAAATCGTTTGGAGAACACAAGTTGACGCACGTTTCTCACATAAAACTTTTCCGTCCGTACTAAAACTTCATCCACTGCTATCCAGGACCGTTTCGCAGCCGGACTAGATGCAAGAGCGGCCATCGTACAAACTGGCGATATTTAAACAATTTCTGCAGCGTGCAGCATTCTCATCAAAGTGTTACACGTTGGCGATCGCCAACGTTTCTCGGAAATTAGGGTTGAAGGTCACGAAGCGCGGTGTCAGTATTACTCTTCAATTCTAAAGGTGAAAATGATCTCAGTCGCTGATGTGCATCTCCCGCTACTCAGATAACTGAAGTAGGCGCGCCGGACTGTGAGGACATCTGACTGTCTCTTCACGCAGCGAAATAAATACCCAGCACGCAGTAATAATTTAGGAAAAACTGCTGATTTTTTAAAAAAATTCATTAAAAAATGTGTATTGAAATTAAGAAAATTGATAGAATAAAAATATATTTCGTGAAAATAGCAAAATATGTTAATATGTAATATAGTACTAAATATGTAAAAATATGTGACGAAAAAATTGGGTACTGTGTTAGGGACGGCGACGGTTTGCTAAGATTATAATTTAAGAACGGTAAGAAGAACAAGAAGAAATATGTAATTACATAAAAAGCCGATCTCTAGCTATGAGTAGGGGGCTTCCACCATGTGGTGCAGCCAGATCCATATTTTGTGGGTCCATACTACTGAAAAATCAAATGACGATAAAACGTCCGGGAACAATTTTAGCGGCTAAACCGTTCAGCCGATTTTCTCCACAACTGTTATTCCTCAATCTATCTGGCTATGTCTCTCCCCTTGAACTTAAAATTTTTATTTCAATTTTGGGGAGTAGTTTACATGAAGCCCCTGGGACATTTTCAAAAATATGACTCCAACCTTTGGGTTAAATTTTATTATTGTGTACAGTGAAGAACGTTTAAAAGAATGGAGTAGGTCTGATGTTAGTTAAAAATCCCTATTTTTTGAAAATTGCAAGAATGTAAAAAATTTTCGGCGTCTTCCTACAACTATTATTATGAAGATTGAGATTTTCCCCTGAATGATATCCGTTCCTTTAAAGATATGTTTTGAAATAAGATCATGTACAATGTTTCAAAAATTTGAGAACGTTTCGCGCAATTTTGCGTGAAAAACGGGGGAAAGTACGTGCGGTTTTATCACTAGTTTTCTCAATAAACTGCTTACAACTAATTTGGCCATTGGAAATTTCTTTTTCGCCTTCATGACTAGGTCGTACAGTGAGTAGACGAGTTGGGGATCCCCAGCCCCTGGGTCTTGGCCAATTCACTTCGTCGTGGCAGCGGCCCGACACTCTGGGCAAAGAGGAGGGACCCAGATAGCAGCCTGTCGGTGAAGTTGTGCCCCGCCGGCGGGGGGGGGGAGGATTAAAGCGAAAGATTAGGTCGTCACCCCGAGGCTAATACAAGGAGTTGTGTGGTGGAGTAGACCACGCAACGTCCATACTGTCCAGATGTCCGCTGCAGGTGGAGCGCCCACAGCCCTACACGCGCGTGGCAAGAGAAAGACCCAGGGTCACTGAGGAGCCCTTGAACACGTCCGCACCCTCGACCGCCACCGGAAGAATAGTTAAGGCCTCCACACACCGGCCAAGTTGTCGGAGCATCGAAATTGGACTCTCGGCTACACTGTCCGATCAACCACCCGAATTTTCAGTAGTGCTCGGAATTTCAAGAAGGTGGAATCTATGCGAGCGTGACTAAAATCTGAGGAAACGGAAGCGCTGTTCACCGACTGTTTCACCGTGATTCCCAACCTCGAAAATGTGGCCAAAATGAAAAAAGGTCCTATTTAGAGATGTTTACGTTCACAATAGTTTACCCTTATAGACATAGAGTTAAATTGCAGGTGAGGAACACATCTTTTGTATTCATCTTCAGAGCCCAGTTCAAAAGCGTGAAACCGTGTTCTATTATGGCAGCGAAAAATACAATCACGTTATTAACGTTTTGCAAAAGTTTTTGTACGAATATAACGCGAGTTTAAAAATAAAAGATTTATTCCAAGTAGATACGGAATATTTGGTATTACTGAATGGAAAAAATGAATAAAAAATTCTGAAAAACGTGTATTATCTATGCCTACAACAATCTTCTATATCTATACGTCTATACTAAAGTATAAAGACAGAAGTGCGTTGACTTGCAGCGTGATAATCTTTTAACCTATTGAAACAATACCGAAGAAACGTTTTTGCTCGCTTTCTTTAAAGTCCTGGAGTACTATACGCTATGATTTACTAAATAAACTTCCTAGATTTACAAAATAATTACTTATCTGGACATTTTTTGCGTAGCTTTACATCACAAATTCAGGTGCACCAACGTCAGTAGTTAAAGTTCGCGCTACCAGAGGACGTCTGAGATCTACTTCTGATTTCATGAATGTCCACAATTATTACGAAATTCATTGGTGTTTAAATAAGGTTATGTAATGTCCGTGTGTGAACGTTGTTGATTTGTTAATTTTGGACGTTGGAACATTTGAGAGAAATCCGTAATCGAAGAAGAAAAGATTATCAGTGTACAAGCAGTCAAGTATTTAGTCCGTGTTATATACAAACAGTGGCAAGATAGCGTGAGTTTGAATGTATTTAAAAATTGAGGTTATTTGAGAGAGTAAAAAGAACAATAATATACACTCAACATCGCCTAGATTAGTATGTCTAGGAGGTTTTGATACAGTACAGAATCTACAGTAATGTACAATATATAGAGCTCGTATACTTTCTAAACAACCTCTTCTACAGAAATGTGTGATCACTGAATCGTTTGAAAGAATGCCGACAGTTGTCAAAATTCTGAATCTGCCACTCAGAGCAAGTGCGTCTTGCTGGAGAACACATACGCACCATTGGAAATAATACTGCAAGGAGGGAAGCAAATGTTAATAGTTCTCTAAGAAGTAGGGCAGCTTTTCATTATGACTCCCAATATGACTATTTACACAGCTCATGTTCAAATTGGTAATATGGAAAATGTTTATATATTTTAAGTCAACACGTGAACTTTTTTTCGACATGTGCAGGAGATTAGTACAGTGCTATGTAATTAAGCAACGATCCTTTACAAGGCTTATTTGTGCTGTTGTTTTGCATATCAATTGCTCCCAAAGAATGAATTCATCCATTTTTGTATGAAAAAGAGGCAAAAACTACTTTATCTAATAATATTCATGTTTAAGCAAATAAGGG